TACTTTGAGCATCCCCCTTCCTTTCCTTAACAATACAATCGACCCACCACTTCCATCAAGGAGGAACCATACTTGCGCTTAATTACCTTCCAATTTTCGGCCAGTTGATCTCCCCCAGCACATGCTATCCCAACAGAAGACACACGGTTCTCCATACACACATCCAAAATCACAAACAAATAGGGAGTCACGATGTCAATTGTAGAGTGGAAAACAAGATGGGTACGACATCGTCCTCTGCTCACTAGCCCATTCTCCTTCATCAATCTTTTTTTTCTCTCACATTTGTCAGGTGTGGATCGTCGTGTCATGTTAACCTTATCCCTACAATTCAGGTGTGGGTTCGGCCGAACATATTAAAAAAAAAAAAAAAAAAAAAAAAAGTTTTTGTTTTGGTTTTTTATTTTTAACTCGAGGTTGGTTACGAATTTGTATCGTATCAGTTGAGGCTACCAACACATTTGCAAGTCAAGTCAAATCAAAGCATGATTGGACGTACACAACAAGTAGATCGTACAGAGTGAAGCACACTTCCTCGATAGTTACGGCAAAACAACATTCCACAACCCCAAGGACCACCGTGCGTTCCACGTACCCGACGGTTACCAGCGCAAAGCGGTAATGAGTCGTCCCGTAAGAGGTCGAGTCTATCGTAGCGAAAGCCTATATACTTCTACGTACTGCATGGAGCCTTTCATACGTGCGACCTGACACAGTCGTCCGGTAGACATCATCAAAAAATTCCCCAAGTCCCAAACGGTACCCGACAGTACCCCCCGGGGGGTCAGCGGACCCAATCGCAAATTCGTTCCGCCAAGAGACTCGCCAAATGCGTAACTCGCCCAAGAACCGGGGCGTCAAAACATGCTCACGCTCATATGTCAACAACAGGCTACCAGAAAATGCCACAGAAAAATACTAGACTAAAAGAAACAATAAAACGACAAAACTACGAAGAGTACTTAACAACATATTAAAGCCAACTATACACAAAATATTCAGTACTGCAGACCAGTGCCATCATGACAAGCAACAACAACAAAAAATGGTGTGATTACCTAAGAACCCTGTCCACCTGCTCACCACCCTGTTACCAGTTTCACAGTATGCTTCCAAGTCTCATCACGTCGAAAAGCGAAACATCGGAGCGTTCGTTCAAAGAAGTCCGCCGGGACGTCCTTCCGACGAAGTTCCCGTCTCAAAGATAGCACCCGACCCGGAATCTCGCTACTGATCGAAGTGTTCTGCTCGATCCTATGAAGATAGCTCCCAATGGCAGCAATTTTTTGCTGCTTGCTACCCCGGGACAAAAAAGAATGTCCTGTCTGGAATTCCAGCTCATCACGTGTCCACAGGGTAGCCTCGTTGCACGACATCTGCACGCAACCAAGGTACGGATAATGGTTGGAGCACCGGACCTCACAACCTAGGAAATTGAGAATGCCATTTCCCGTATCCGTCCGTTTCAGAGATAGATTGCGTGGATAGCAATTTGAAAAGCTCTGCAATACTCAGTCAAGAGATTCGCCTATGAGTGAAGCGATTACTAGCATAACATCATTGACCAACCGGATACCAACACAGATCGGGCAAAGCGCCCCAGGCCACTAAGGAAGAAATGTTCAGAATAGGCACAAAGGATGCATGCCAATGCGGGGCTTGTGCTCTTTCCCATTGGTATGCCCACATCCTGCCTGAGAACAACAGATGTTGCACAGGTGTAAGTGTGCTTCAAATCAATCGATACGAATTGTAACAGTTCCCCAAAGTCAATCCTCCTCCAATGGTCAACTCTGGTCCAGCGACCAAAAGAAGCACCACGCCCCCTCGTGTTGACCTGAACAAACACACGTCCCTTCCCCCTGTGGTGATCCAACAGCCATTGTACCGCCCTCAGAATGTCACGGTGTGGTAATCTACTGAAAATATCCTTAATATCAAAGCAGCGTGATGTGAGATTAACAGGTCCCTAAAAACCCCGAATCCTGGAGTTAGCCACATCAAGCTTCGTTTTCAACTTCGAAACAACAGGAAGGTTAAAATGGCTGCTGGTAGGCATCTGGGCCAACAAAAAATTCAAGCCTTTGGCCACTACCCTACCCGTGCGAACCATTGGTTCGCTATAGGTTGGGCAAATAGGACGATACCTAGTCAGGTCCTTATGTTTCGGAATGACATAAGCAGATCCTAATGAGCCCTTGTCGTCCCATCAGACAAACTTCAGTAAGCCAGCAGCCTTCATATCCTCCCTAACTTCCCGTAGTACCATTGCTTCCAGAGCAGACACAACCGTGTATGCCGTATTCCGAACAAAGGTGTGCATCAGAGTATAACTTCGGACACATCACTACCGTCTCGCTTGGATTACGGTCGAGCGGGGTGAGTACCAGTCCATCAAACTGGCGTTTCACCAGTTCAACATCACGGAAGAAAAGGCAACCACTACCGGGTTCCCCTGCAGAATTCATGCACGATTTCAACACGTCAAGCTGCACTCCACGTGACTTACCACGTAGGTTCCGCCAGCTGGAGAAACCCTGTTCAATCTCCAAACGTAGAGCCCTCAGTCGATCAGACTTACGAGCCAGTGGGATATTATTAGCATTGGCTAACAGAGGGTTCTCAACAAACTCCTTCTTTAAACGAAAGCGCACGTATTCTCCCATCCTAGGATAGGGTAATCTTGTGCATTGACAGATCAGCACACTACAAACACTGTATTTCCTGTGATTGTGTAGTAGATCCCCGACCGTTTGGTTCTTAAGCCAAACGATATGAGTCTTCTTGCGCGCCCTTCGTTAGAAGCAAGGAGGTAAGTCGCAATCCATCAAAATATCATTATCAGCCTTACGTAATTCACACACATTAATCCTATCATCAAACTTCACTCTGATAAGCAAGTCAACACTCAAACTGAGATCGAAACGATCGAGAAAATTGCGAGAAATAAGCCTACGAAGATACTTCCTCGTGGATTTCCGTGAGAAATCCTTCGCAGCATTCTAAAGTCGGAGCATAGAGCGCATGCCCCATTTCCGGAACCGATCGATGGTACGTGGGTTCTTAAGAAGGGAGATAAGCAAGCCTTTCAAAAATCGACACTTAGGCTTCCACGACACGAGATATTCGATCACTACCTGTCCCTCAATCTCAAACCAACCCTTACACTCCCTCAATAGACGCGTTTCAGCAAGCCGTGAGTACCGCGCGTTCATTGAACGCGGGTTTTTCGTTCAGAAATTGAACGGAATGAACGCGCGTTCAGTGAACGCGACCGAACGCGAAGTTCAATTCCGCGCAGGAAAAAAAAAAAAAAAAAAAAAAGTTCTTTAAAAATTCCGAAAATAAAATATGTTATGAAGAAAAATAAAATAAATAACTTTTGCCCGAGAATCACATCCAAATTCGCTATCAAATTCGAAATAAAAATAGAGAACAGAAAATAGAAAAAAGTAAAAAAAGAATTGAAATTAGTGGGCGAACATGATTTGACACCGCCATCTTTGGCGATTTTTCATTTTTGTTTCCCTTCGCAAAATGACTCCAAAATTTACAGACATGTAGCCCACAACATATAGAGCTCACAAAAAAAAAATCAGAAAAAAATAAAATATTTTTAGGCATCGAAAATATTTTTTGAAAAAAATAAAATATAATTAAACGCTGTTCAATTTTTGAACGCGAACGCGCAATCCGCGTTCAAACGCACATTTGAACGCGAACGCGCGTTCACCGCGTTGAAACGGTTACACCTTAGTATCGCCAAATCTGCGCACGATACTCGTCCACGTAGCCTGCCAAGTGTTCCCCCACTGCTATGTATCACAAAGCGATGACAACCATCAATCTCTTGACGTTTGAGCACTTGAAAAAGATCCAACTGCCAATCATCACCCACAGTTAAACGAAACCGAACTGGTGTAATCGATCGTTGTGAGCACCTCGTTAAATACCCAATCGTGCACGTTCGTTCTTACCCAGCGATTTACCCTTCCCCTTCCGTCGGTTACACTTACGCACACCAGAGGTGTTGAGGAAAGGGGACCACTGTCGAATGTAAACTCTCTCGAGTTTCGTCAACTCATCATTCATAATTGTGTCCACAGGTAGTAAAACATAGTTCTCGATACCAAAGCAACTTGACCATCGATAGAAGTGATTCGGAGCACGGTTCTTTGACGCGTAAATATGCTCCCGCCATCGGACATCCAAATGTCTAGTAGACTTCCCCACATATAGGGACTTACAATATGGTGACACTGCCACATAGACACTGGAACAAATATTTACAAAATCAGGTCAGAAGATACCTAGTAACCGTACCCAAGAGTCAATGCATTTACGAGCCCAGCGCACAACTCCGTACAAAGACAAATTCACAAAAGCGAGCCGCAACAATTCCTCGATACGCGCATCAACCCTAATCAGGGTACGTAACTTAGTCAAGCATCGGACAACGTGCCACAAGTCGGCAATACTTAGGGCACATCACGAGTCGGGATTAGTCGGGATCGAGTCAGGATTAGTCGGGATCGAGTCGGGATTAGTCGGGATCGATTGGGGATCGCTCTCTCTCCCTCGTTCTCTCTCTCTCCCTCTCTCTTTCTCTCTCTCTCTCTCTCAATCTATCAATCAATCAATCAATCAATCAATCTGTAAAAGGGGAGGGGGGGAGGGTGGGAGGAGGCATCGGAATCCATCAATCTATTAATCAATCAATCAATCAATCAATCAATCAATCAATCAAGTCTGCATGTGGTTTTGTTTCGTATTGTTGTTTCGGAAGAAGAAGAAGAAAAAGAAGAAGAAGAAAAAGGAGAAAAACAAAAGAAAGAGCGCTTTCGTTGCACGTGCGTATGTGTGTGTGTGTCCAATCAATCAGTCAACCAATCAATCAAGTCGGGGAATCTCTCTCTCTCTCGATCTCGCTCTCTCCCGTCAATCAATCAATCAATCAAGTCAGGTCGGGTCGGGTCCCGTCCCAACGCGTTCGAGATCGCACCAACTTTTCTTTTTAATTTCAACCAATCAATCAATCAATCAACCGAAGTTGATTGATTGATTGATTGAAACAAAAACCACAAACAAAAAACAAAAAAACTGGGTCGGGTCGGTTCCCGTTCTGGCCCGTTCGACATATTTCAATCAATCAATCAATCAATCAATCAGCGGGGTAGGCAGTGGATGGAAGGAGCGGAGGAGCGGGGGAAGCAGCAGAGGGAAGAGCGACGGGAAAGGGCGGGAAAGAGAGCCGAGCGATGGTGCGCAGAGGGCGGCGGAGATGTGCGGAGGTGGGCGGAGGTGGGCCGATGTGCGCGGAGGTGGGCGGAGTTGGGCGGAGCCGCGGAGGTAACTGGAGCGAAGATGGCCGGAGCGGAGGTGAGCGGGCGTAGAGGAGGTGGCCGCGTGGACCGCAGATGGGCCGAGGTGGGTGGAGGTGGGCAGAGGTGGGCACGTGGAGCGAAGGTCGGCGGAGGTGGGCGAAGGTCGACGGAGGTGGGCGGAGGCGGGCGGAGGGGATCGGGATCGGGATCGGGAAGCGGAAGCGGAGCGAACTTGCCACGTGGCAATCTTCGCACGTGGGAGGGGGAAGTGGTGAACTTGCCACGTGGCGATCTTGCGACGTGGCGGTCTTGTCACGTGGGAGGGGGAGGTGGCGAGCTTGCCGCGTGGCGAACTTGCCACGTGGCGATCTTGCCACGTAGCGATCTTGCCACGTGGGAGGGGAAGGTGGCAAACTTGCCACGTGGCGATCTTGTCACTTGGGTGGGGGAGGTGGCGAGTGGAAGCGGAAGCGGGGGGAAAGCGCAAGCAAGGGGGAAAGTCGGGGAAGTGGAAGCGGGGGAAGCATAGGCGGAAGCGGAGCCCAAAGCGGAGAGCAGCGGACCCTGAAGCGGAAGCGGGGAGAAGCGGGGAGAACCGGAAGTGGGGAGAAGTGGAAGCGGGAGGGGGAGGTGGCGAACTTACCACGTGGCGTGGTGATCTTGTTACGTGGGAGGGGGGGGTGGCGAGCTTGCCGCGTGGCGAACTTGCCACGTGGTGGGAAGGGGAAGCCGAGGCGGAAGCGGAAGCTGAAGTGGAGGCTGAAGCGGAAGTGGAAGAAGAAGCGCAGGGGAGGAGGAACTTGCCACGTGGCGGTCTTGCCTTGATTGATTGATTGATTGATTGGTTGATTGATTCATTGATTGATTGCTCTCGTCGGCATGAGCATCAATCTGTCCCGTCGGGTCGGGTCGGATTGGCATTGCAGTTAGTCGGGTCCCCTCGTGATTGCGGTCGGCTCGGGAATCAATCAATCAATCAATCAATCAATAAAGTTTGCATTCACTACGGTTGCGTTTCGTGGGGAGGTAAGGTCGTAGGAGGTTCGTTTCTCTCCTTCCTCTATCAGATCAATCAACATAACTATGGCGCATGGTGCCCAACATTCCTTCCCGACCAAGAAGAAGAAGTAAAGGATGAAGAAAACAAACACGAAGAAGAAGACGAAAAAGAAGATTAAGACGACGACGAAGACGACGAAGAAGACAAAGAAGAAGACGAAGTAGAAAATGAAGACGACGAAGGAGACGAAGAAGAAGATGAAGACGACGAAGAAGAAAAAGAATAAAAATTCACCAAGATGAAGAATAAGACCAAGTAGAAGAGGTAGACGAAGAAGAAGGACAACCTGAGTTGAAGAAGAGGGAAGAGGAACCTACCAGCAGAAGCCATCTCTTCTTTTGTTTTTCTCCTCAAATCGAAACCTCGCGAAATCCGAATGTCGTAAACTCAACACCGCGCGTAAGGGAGCGCCGATTCCCCCCCCCCCCCCCCCCCCCCTCTCTCTCTCTCTCTCTCTCTCTCTCTCTCTCTCTCTCTCTCTCTCTCTCTCTCTCTCTCTCGTCGTCGTCGACAGCGGCCAACTATGGCTGACACCCTCTCTTTCTCTCTCTCCCTCGCTCGCTCGCTCGTCCTCAGCGGCCAGGTATCGCTGGCGCCCTCTCTCTCTCTCTCTCTCTCTCTCTCTCAAAAGTTTCCTCGATGGCCTCTCTCTCTGTCTCGGATATGGTCTCTCTCTCTCTCGCTCTCTCTCGTGAGTCTCGTCTGCCTGCTGAGGTTGCTCAAGCTCAAGCGCCTCAACATGAAACCTCCCCCCTCGTGCATAGTATATATGGCGAACAGAGGGAGTAGCGGACCAAGGAGGCGCGCGACTGATGGAGAGAGAGAGAGAGAGAAAGAGAGACAGATAGAGAGAGAAGGGGGGAGAGAGAGAGAGAGAGAGAGAGAGAGAGAGAGAGAGAGAGAGAGAGAGAGAGAGAGAGAGAGAGAGAGAGAGAG